CTACAGATTTAAAGCAATCCCTATCAAAATAGCCATGACATTTTTCACAGAACTAAAGCAGATAATCCTAAAATTTATATGGAACCACAAAAGACCCTGAACAGTCAAAGCAATCTTTACAAAGCTAGAGGTATCGTACTCCCTGACTTCAGATTATACGACAAAGCTACAATAATCAACACAGTATGGTACTGGCACAAAAACAGACACATAGATCAATGGAATAGAATAGAGAGCCCAGAAAAAAACCCCACACACTTATGATCAATTAATCTACAACAAAGGAGGCAAGAATAAACAATGGAGAAAAGTAAGACTCTTCAATAAGTGGTACTGGGGTAACTGGATAGCTACATGTAAAAAAATGACATTAGAACATTTCTTCACACCATATGGGGAAAAAAAGCTCAAAATGGATGAAAAACCTAAATTAAAGAAGGGAAGCCATAAAACTCCTAGAAGAAAACGTAGGTAGAACACTCTTTGACATCAACTGAGCAAATTGTTTTTTGGATCTGTCTCCTAAGGCAAATGAAGCAAAAGCAAAAAGCAAAAAAATGGAACCTAAACTTAAAGGTTTTGCACAGCCAAGGAAACCACTGACAAAATGAGAAGATTACCAACTGAATGGGAGAAAATATTTGCAAATGATATGACCAATAAAAAGTTAATATACCAAATATATAAACAGCTTATAAAACTCAATATCAAAAAAACAAATAACCCGATTAAAAAAGTGAGCAGGAAACCTGAATAGACATTTTTTCCAACAGATGGCCAACAGGCACATGAAAAGATGCTCAACCTCGCTAATCATCAGAGAAATGCAAATCAAAACTGCACTGAGATATCACCTCACGCCAGTCAGAATGGCTATCACCAAAAAGACCACAAACAACAAATGTTGGCAAGGATGAGGAAAAAAGGGAAATCTAGGACATAGTTGGTAGGAATGTAAATTGGTGCAGCCACTATGGAAAACAGTAAGGAGGTTTCTCAGAAAACTAAAATTAGAACTACCATATGATCCAGCAAGTCCACTCCTGGGTATATATCTGAAGAAAACAAAAACAATAATTCAAAAAGATACATGCACCCCCATGTTCATTACAATATTATTTACAATAGCTAAGGTATGGAAGCAACCCAAATGTCCATCAACAGATGAATGGATAAAGAAGGTGTACTGTGTGTGTGTGCATGTGCGTGTATGTGTGTGTGTGTGTGTGTGTGTATGTATAATGGAATATTACTTAGCCATAAAAAAGAATCAAATTATGCCATGTGCAACAACATGGATGGACCTGGAGGATATTATGCTTAGTAAGTAAGTCAGACAGAGAAAGTCAAATACTGTATGATATCACTTATATGTGGAATCTAAAAAGTAAAACGAACTAGTGAATGTAACAAAAAAGAAATAGACTCACAGATATAGAGAACAAACGAGTGGCTACCAGTGGAGAGAGGGAAGAGGGTAGGGGCAAGATACAGGTAGAGGATTAAGAGGTACAAACTATGTGTAAAATAAATAAACTACAAACATATGTTGTACAGCACAGGGAATACAGCCAATATTTTATAATAACTTTAAAAGGAGTATAATCTATAAAAATGTTGAATGACTATGTTGTACACCTGAAACACAATACTGTAAATCAACTATACTTCAATTTTTAAAAATTCTATATTTTTCATATGCTTTCAAGAGCCTTTAAATACATGTAGAACTAAAGTTTAAAGGAAAAAAGAGATAGTAAGCATTATAATTAAATATTTATATGACAAAGGTTAGCTATTCTAACAATGAGTTCTTGTTAGAACTTAAGGGCTTGCCTCATACAACCTGAGGTGAAAATAATGACTTTATCATACGTTTAATAAAAAAAAATTTATTATAAAATATGCACACACATACATATATATGTGTGTATAGATATATGTACACAGACATACATATACACATATTTATATAAAACCTGCCCCCTCCTCTGTGTCTCACTACTAAGTTTGGATGCTCTCTCATCATTTGGACTATTGAAATAGCTTCCTAATCCAACTCTCTGATTTGCTCCATGAACCTTCCAATGACATCCCCACTGCCAGAGAGACTCTTCAGAAGCGAAAATTGTTACCCTGTCCTTCTACAGCTTAATCTTCAGGATACATATCCTCCTCCTCAAGTATTTAACTCAAACTGCTTAACTCAAAATGGCACGCAAAGCCGTTTGGACATCACTTATAGTTCAGGTCAAACATTCTGTTCTTTAGGAAACACTATGTGATTTTCTTCTCCTCATCCCACTTCTGATTTAGATACCCTTCCCCATCTCTCCTTCCCTTAGTATTCCTGTGCAATCCTCTATCACAGCATTTTCCTCACTACAGTTATTAAAACTTTAGTTTCTTGCGTCAAATGGTTCATCTTCAATAAATGCTTGTTGAATGACTGAATACCTGAGTAGAGAAAATGAGAATTATAAAAACATCTTGCAGCAGAATAGGCTACAGATTCTCCACAGGTATAGTCATCCCATATTCTACATATTTTTCTAAATATTCATTTAAAGTGAATTTTTAATAAATGTGAATCTTAAAATGGTGTATCATTTAACCTGGTAAAATGTTAATATTTATTTCATATTGGATTTTTCTGGATGCTATGGAAAGTCCTCTACATATTTCAAAGATTTCAGAAAGAGAATATTCTTTGAAAACTGTACTTTTCATATATTATATGAAAAAACTTCTCCAAACTCAGAAACATCAAAGGCTAAGGGCCTTGAGTCTACAATGTCTGGGGGTCTCTACAGACCACAGAGGTATAGCAGTGAATATTCAAACCACAAATTAGTAGGCTTTTCTGTGTTAGTCATGGAATCAGGTAGTGATCGGGAGTATGTAAACATGAATGAGTATGTAAGACACTAGGAAGTGGGGTAAGGGGTCCCTAAATTTTGAGACTAGTAAATTAGTGCTTATGAAAAAGTATAAAGCAAGGAGGGAGAAGTGAGTAGCTACATGGTGGACAATACATCAATGAGACGATGTGACTCCTGATTTCAGCCCCACCACCAACAGTGAATACAATTCAGTCTTTCTATGCTTCAGTTACATCTCATACCTTCTGGGAAGATTTCCTGGCTATGCTAGTCTCTAATGATCTGTGCTATTTATTTCCAAATATTAGTCGAAGAAATAAATTCACTGATCCAATGAATATATAAAGTTAGCATTTCTTTAACCGGCTCATAAACTGATATCCAAATAATTTAATTGTGCTAACCAATAACTGGTCAAAATCCTAGAGTACTTATTTCTATTTAAAAACTACCAAGAACTGCATACAATTTTTAGTGTTTGATCAATTTCCTATCATTCTAACAAGAGACTGAAGTCTGTTCAAATCACATCTTTTGTGACATGCTCTAGATATTCAATCTGAAGACAGGTATGTTTCTAACAAAATTGTGACACATATTTATGATATAGACAAGGACAAAATTACTTCAATTCTGTGTGTTCAATCCTTAAAATATAATTAAGCCTAAGTCTTTAACACTGATATTATTTGAACAATGTCATAGTACTTTGCAAATCACAAGTACAGCTACAAAAAGATGAAGGGTATACTCATATAATTCAGGTATTTCTTTTTTATTCAGATTTGTTACTGCAGTGACGAATTAACAACAAAAAAAGACATTTAGCACCAACAGAAGCTTTCTGTATTTGCCTGTATTTTCAATTGTTTCCTTTACTGCCTTTTTTAGGTAGCAAATATCCAAGATATCAACCTCATCGTCATCCTAATGGTTCTGTCTCTTCAATAGCCTCTTCCAGCTTATCTCCCTTACTCCTGTGGATTCAAAGACTACCCATATGCCACTGACTCCTTAATCTATACTTATGCTCCGAGCCTGTATTTCAAAGTATGTAGTCTAGTTCCTAGCACAGGGCTTGACTCATAGTAGGGCATTTAATAAATAAGGTTCAAATAGATGTGCAAGTTATCTGATGTCTTGCTCTAGATGTCTGCCAGGCATCCCAAACTCAATATATCCAAAACACTGTATACAATTCATTATCATTTTCCCAATATTCCTATATTCCCCTATTTTTGTTAATGGATTGCCATCCACTCCTTCACCGAAATTAGAATCCTTAGTTATCCTCAAATTCTACTTCTCTATCTCTTACTGTTCACATTCCAAATTTCCAATACCTTAATAACTTAACGTCTCTAGTTTCTTACTTCAGTCCTGTTCTCCCAACTCAATTATTAAAATTATATTTTAACTGGCCTTCCTAGCTGGGATGCCTTAATACTTTTTATAATTGACAGTCTTCTCATCTTGCAACAATAACTGTAAATATTGCTTTCTCTACAAGGAATGATTCGTCATTACGTCGTATCTGCTCTCCTGTACACTTTGTTTATATTTTTATTTATACCAAGTATTAAACTGTACAATCCCATCCACCTCCCCCTTTTAAAAATACATCTCTAGTGAATAATGCCAGTGTTGGGGACAGGGCGGTGCTTTGCAGTCATTTATATAAGGTTCTGTATCATCTGGCCTCTCGCTACCCCTCTGACTTCTACTCTCCCCCTTATTCCTCCACACCAGACATATTAGCCTTTTTGCTGCGCAAAATGCACACTAAGCAAATTTCTGACTTGGGATCTTGGTTGGGTATGCTATTCTTCCTGACAACATGGCTTTCTTTCTTCAAAATTTTGCTCAAGGGTCGCCTTCTTTGTGAAGCTTTCCTTTACCACCCATTAAAAACAGCAACCTAACCCCATTCCCCAGTTCACCCTATCCCCTTTCCTTGTTTTGTTATTTATTCTGTATTTATTTGCTTATTGTCTGTCTCTCTCCACTGGAAGTAAGCTTAAACAAGGACATGGATTATTATCTGTTCTGTTCACTGATACATTCACATAACACTTTTAACAGTGCCTGGGACAAAGTAAGTACTCACTGGGTACTTACTGAATGTATGAATGAATCTTGCATTCCCAGAATCTATATATGCAGGAATTAAACATCCTTTAGAATTAAAAACAAAAGAAGAAAGTTAACATGAGAAAGGATTGAATAAGGGAAAACTATTTTCATCTACTACAGTGGTACAGTATTGAGAATATAAGAAAGTGAGAATTCATTTTCCCGGGTCCATCCATAAAAGATCCAATTTAAATTCTAGACAGAGACAATAAATTTAAATTCTGAACATAAGCATGACAATTTAGAAGACATTTTCCACAACTCAAAGCAATGAGAAGTCATTTAAAAAATATGATTATGCTATATCAACTTTTTCCCTGTTAAAGTTCACTGAATATTAAGTACATTAATTTGCCTAACTGCTATACTGTGCCTTTACACTGCCTTTAACATTAGTTTTTAAAGTGTTTTGCTTTCAACTGTTTATTAAATCTTCGCTTGAAAATATACAGATTGAAAAGACTGAGGAGACATTAAGTATCAAGCCTCATAATATTACTACAAAAATAAAAGAAAAAAGAAGAAAGAGAGGAAAATGAGACTACCCTCTCCCCAAAAAACCTCAAACTTTGTTGATTCTGAATTGGCCAAAATAAAAAACCTGCTCACTGCCTACTTTGCTCAGACAAATTTAATAGCTGTGAGATGTGAAAGACTGGATTCCTTTCAAAAGAAGGGCAGGTATACACAATGCACAACACACAACACACACACACACACACAGTGTCACTCACACACACATTAATATAAAAGAAACTGGAGTGCTTTTTATGTATTAACTCACTTATTCCCAGAATACCACTGGGAGGCACATTTGAAAGATGTAACATAGTAATTAAGGCTCTCACATGACTTGAGACATATTAGTCTCCTAAAAGGCCAGCAACAAAATCCAGATTCCTCGTTCTAAACTGCCATTTAGAGGAGTCTTAAATGCACAATATTGTTCTATATTGTAAAGACAACACAGAATTAATACATTTAATCGAACTGATTCCTTTCTCTGTGCTCTTGTAGTGTTTTGTGCTTATCTCCTGTTGAACTCATCCCCAACATATTATACCTATTTCTTTGCCTGCTGGATTCCCCAACTAGACTGGGAGGACTTTGAGGGCAGTCTTTCAGCTTCCATTTCCCCAGGGCTTAGCACAGTCCCTAGTGCACAGTAAGCTCGCCATAAACATTGGTTGATAACCTGTATGAATTAATTTTTGATCAAGTATAAGAAGTATTTTTATTTTTTAAACTAACACCTTTTTTGTAGGGTGCTTCTACTAAAATACAGTATTTCTGGTTTGATAAAAAAGAAAAAGATGGACACGAGTCAAAAATCATTCTCAGTTTTACTCCTTATGAAATTATAGTTGAATATTTTTTCAGAGGAGAAAGTTGAGGAAAAAAGTAAACTGACTGAAATTAGAACATTAAAATAATGTTCTACTTTTTACTTATCAAACATTTACACTGCAAAAACCACTTAAATTATTTTTAAAAAAATGACCAGTCATTCCACTTAGTCATTTCTTAGTCTCCATATTTGTCATCAACTTTGCTCTCAAGATTTGCAGAAAAACATGGAGTTATTCTTTACATTTTCATTCACTTTTCACTAAGGAAAACATTTCCTGAAAATACATGTTTAAAATTCTGGAAAATACAAATCAGCATTATCTAGACATCTCTATCATTACCAGAAGGTCTGGTTCCTCAACCTAATTTCCACTGTTAGTTGGCATTTCAATAAGTGATGGATACTCATTTCCAGAAAACATTACCAGTAAATTCTATGATATCATAGTCTCTTCACTATCTAGACCAAACTGACTAAACCACAAAATGCAAAAAGTATGTAGTTAGCTACTCTACATGAAACCTTAGGGCTATTCTGAGTACAGCCTTAGAAAAGTATAATCTAACTGAGTAAGAATAAATGAAAATTTAATTTAGATAGCCCTCCTACTCTGAATTTCCAGGGCCTTCAGTAGACACAAACCAAAATGTTTAAAAACTAAAGTATTTCTTATCATAGACTTAATTCACAAAAAAAGTTAATTTGGGACATAGAAATTTACAAAGGAAATAAAAATTATTTTTATGATATAGTATTTCATTTTTTTCCCCATGACCAGGGGAGGGGAAACATAAGGAGCTGCTTCCTTGGTTCTAAGCAGTGCCTACCCTAAGCAAGATTAGTAAATAAAAAATAATTACTGATTTTTAAACTCATAACTTTTCAAAAAATAATAGAACATAAAGACTGAAAGGGATTGTGACATGAAATCTGTGAAAGTGCTAATGTGTAGATATATACAGGGAAGGAATGAGTATATGTGATTAATATGGAATAAAATTTATTCTACTTTAAACATGAATTAAAATATTTTTCATTATCATAGATGTGGTCAACATTTTGATATACAATGTATTCACTATAATACTGAAAAACTAAAAATATTCATAAGCTCTAGCAATTGAAGAAAGGCTTGAAAATTATGGAATACTTTTTCTTTAAGACCAGGCATTAAGTTTATTATCAGAAAAAGTTACAGAAAACCATAGAAGTACATATTTGGGAATACATTCCACAACATCTAACTGCCTTAAAAATGTATGCCTAACTGCCTTAAAAATGGAAAAACTGTCATTTCAGTTTGAAATTATAAAATAGTAAAATGTGTCTTATGGTTGATATTAAACAATGTTAAACACAGTCTTTCTCAAACTATAAAAAATAAACAATAAAGTTATGCCTGGTCAAAAATAATTTTGCCATTTTATAACCTGTCCTCTCACCTTGCCTGCTGCAGTCAATATAAAGTTGTTGTAATTCTTCCTCTAATCCTCACTTTGAGTGGATTGGTTACTGATACTAGCAATTTTCCCTGGAGGCACAGCAGTAAATTATAAAACATTCACTATTTTCACCATGATATAAATTATGTTATGATAAGGAGGCTGAAACCTTCAAAGTCTCCTACTTCAGGATTATATAATGAAAACTACTTTTGTCTTGGAAGTGTTTTAATCAGTATGCCTAGAAGTTGTATTTTGAAAAAATATGTACTGAAAGGATATGGATTTTAACGTTAAGACATACACTAAATTTAATTCAAAGAGCATAGTGATTTCTCTTTCTAAAATTTAGTGGGAAGTTAAGTAAATTTAAAATCAAAAGGTTCAATGATTAAAACAGTTCTGGATATAGTCATAAAGATACTATCTATAACTCTTACTGCACTGTAAGTCAAACATAGCTTGGTATTTAAAAACTTTCACTTGCAGTAAACACTTTCCTATCTTCTATTTTCAAATGACAAGTCACTAAGATGAAATCACTTGCTCCAGGTCACAGCATAAGAAACAGAATCTGAATCTAAATTCAGGTGTCTCTGACCTCTTGGCTACGTGCTACCAGAATATGTGGTATTAATTTAAATAGGAAAAATAAGAAACTTCTGGAGTCTCTATTAAAGTTATCAACGCACAATCGTGATGACGAAATATCATGAACTCTTCAGGGTAATACTTTCAGGAAAGTTTTAATATAAAAAGCATTATTTGTATTTAATTTAAAAAATGGGTAATCCATTCTTTGTTTGTTTGTTTGTTTTTGCGGGCCTCTCACTGTTATTGCCTCTCCCGTTGCGGAGCACAGGCTCCGGACGCGCAGGCTCAGCGGCCATGGCTCATGGGCCCAGCCGCTCCACGGCATGTGGGATCTTCCCGGACCGGGGCACGAACTCGCGTCCCCTGCATCGGCAGGCGGACTCTCAACCACTGCGCCACCAGGGAAGCCCGGGAAATCCATTCTTTATACTGTTAACAACTGATTTGTCTGGTGTCAGATAATGAAGATTTACATCGAAGTAGATTTTGTAGATCTGTACTGTCCAATATGATAGCTACTGGCCACATGTGGCTATTTAAATTTAAATTAAAATGAAGAAAAATTAAAAATTTAGTTCCTCAGTCACACAAGACACATTTCAAGTATTCAACTGCCACATGAGGCTGAAGGTTCCCATGTTGGACTGTGCTGGTCTAGAATTCAGGAAAGAGGTCTGGGCTGAAGATAGACATTTGAGAATCACTGGTGTGTGGGCTTTACTTAAAGTCATGAGTTCATCAAGGAAGTGAAGTATAGGGAATCAAAGAGGATCAGATTGCAGTGGAACAGTCTAAAAAGACATGGAAGAAAAGAGGAAGAATCAGCAAAGGAGACTGAAGAGCAGTAGCTAATGAGATAAGAGAAAAAACCAAGAATGTGGTGGCCCAGAAACCAATGTATTAAGAAGCCATCGAATGTGTCAAATGCTGCTGATAGGTCAAGCAAGATAAGGACAAAGAATTGACCACTGGAATCAGCAATGTGTATAGGTCACTGGTGAGCCTGAAAGAACAGATTAGAAATTTCAACAAATTTACAGAAGATGAAAAGTGATTAGAAACGTCTGAAAACATTATGGTGGGCTGCTGTAGATACAGAATCTGACAATGAAACTCAGAGGAGCTGTGAACACAGAATCAGCATATTTGGTGGGGAGCAAAACAAAACATAATCCAGGAGAAATAATGGAAGGTTCATATGTAAAACACTTGGGCCAAATAGGCTGCAGATCCCACACAAAATGGATGCTGCTGAGCATTAACCACAAGCAAAAAAAAAAAAAGTCAATGGCATTGTCTCTAAAAATAATATTGAACAAACCATCTGGACAGAGTGAAGACTTCTAGAGTGGATACTGCTGTCCTGCTTATTCTCTTTCTGGCAATTAGTCTGACGGGGGGCTCATGTATCTTACCTGTTTACTACCCTAAATATAAGCCTGCCAGTTAATATGTTTTAGTCATATATACAAAGTTCTCAATAGACTTTCTGCTCAGGTGACAAAACAGTTAGATTATAGAGTTATTTACACAACAGAAGAGGGAGGGACACCATACTTGTATCCAGTCATTCATTTAAAGAAAACCAGATACCAAGGATCATCAGATATAAAGGAAAAATCATTGGCAAAAAAGAAAAACACAGGATACATTAA